GGGGGGGGGGGGGGGGTTAGGCGGTTTTTGTGTGTGTGTTTTGGAGTTGGTGGTAGTGGTGGCTGGGAAGGTGGTTTCTTTTCGTCGTCTTCTTCCATTTTCTTGGTCGTTCGTGGAAAGTAAAAAGGGGAAGTCGTTGGCATTGGATTTGATAAGGATGAATATATAATATTATAATGATAGTGGGGAAATTGGATTCTCATTCTTAGATGATTGTTTTTTTTTCTTTTTCTTTTTCTTTTTCCTTAAAATTCTATTGTTTTCTGGGTAATGTCGGCTCGTTGTCTTTGTCCAAGAAAATTATAATATTTTAGGCCATAAATTTATAGCGGTCCGGCATCCGGCATCATATCCATAGTTAGTGGCACATCCATCATAGTTGAAAGCTCCAGCTCCGTATCAAGGTCACGGTCAATATTATCGCCACTATCATAAATATAGTCACTATCATCTATATCGTATCATCAATAAGAAAACCCTTAGGGTTGTTTGTTATCCGGGAACTTGTTCAGAAATACTGTAATGAAAGGAAGATAGGACGTTCAAATGTTATTTGCCCTCTTATAGTTTAGAGTTTTGAATTCCTCTCAAATAATATTTTTTTTGAAAAACGTCTTAATATATAGTTTCTTTTGTTTTTCAAATTAATTGGATAAAAACAGACCATTTCAAAATGACTGTATGAAGTTTGATAAAGATCGACAATACCACATTTTAAAATGTCCACTTAATTCGTTGGGGCAGAGATCTTGTTTAAACGGATTTAAAACAATTGGACTGGTAGAGATTTCTCTGTAGATTAAATGGTATGAAGTACATTTTTTTCATTGTTATATGCAAAAAAACTTACACTATTTGGGGAGTATCAACAACACCTGTGGATCAATTTTCAATCATGAAAATCCAATTTTATCGAACATTCTGATTCCCATTGTTCCATGCATCTCGGAATATTGAACGCAATGAGTTCATTCCTTCAGAAGTAGCCCCTCCTGCTAGGATCCGAAACAGCATAGAACTAAAAGAATTTGCACTCCTCGGTTGCCCAAGTTCATGCTGTCCTGGAATTTGAATCCTGTTGCGGGCTCGGTCAAGGCTACCATTTTCGGTTTGCTCCCAGGGACGGGAAACTTCTCCGGTCACGCCTCCAAGTCCAGTGGGAATGGTTTCAGATGTAGGTCTCAAATCAGGTCCGGAGTTTGGATATGTATTTAGTGCATTAGGATTCCTGGTGATATGTAATGTGGAGGCAAGAATGGCAGAAGAGGTAATATGGAAGTCTGGATGTTGATGTATTTGAGATCGTCTGTTTTGCATGAACCTCTGCAAAGCCGGTACCTGCATTGGACGTTACTGGTATAAGCAATTGGATGATCATATGACAAAGAGTGACAAGGCATCACAAAAAGAAAGCCAAGTAGATGCCGTTGTAAATGGATTAACTCTTAATATCATTCTCTAAAGTCATGTCCAGAAACCCAACATACAACGTTAACGGTCCAAACCCACCGCTAGTAGATATAGTCATCTTTAGGTTTTCTCTTTTGGGCTTCCCCTCAAGGTTTTTAAAACGAGTCTGCTAAGGAGAGGTTTCCACACTATTATAAAGAATTCTTCGTTCTCCTCTCCAATCGATGTGAGATCTCACAATCCACCCCCTTTGGGGCCCAGCGTCCTCGCTGGCATACCGTCTCGTGTCCACCCACCTTCGGGGCTCAGCCTCTTCGCTAGCACATCGTCCGGTGTCTGGCTCTAATACCATTTATAACAGTCCAAGCCCACCGCTAGCAGATATTGTCCTCTTTGGACATCCCCTTTCGAATTTCTCCTCAACGTTTTTAAAACGCGTTTGCTAGAAAGAGGTTTCTACACCCTTATAAAGAATGCTTCATTCTCCTCCCCAACCAAGAAAGGCTATTTCCTGTTTAGTATCTGCTAGCGACTTAGTCTAAACCAACATCACATGAACATATAAAAGTGTGCAAGAGAAGTAATAAGCAGACCCTACTGCCTTTGAAAACTTAAAACAGTTGTAATAAAACATGAGTTCATTTTTGAAATCTTATAAAGAAACTGATACTATTAAATGAAGATGGAAAATAGTGCACCTCAAAGCGGTTCCAAAAGTATAGAATCAAATGCTGCGTAAAGGCTGCAGTAGTAGAAAGAGCCAAATATGAAAAACCTGTAAATTTTGTGAAAATGAAATTTAGGATCTGGTTATCCACAAGCTCTAATATAAGCCCACAATTGTTGAAAAGATAAGTGGCATACCATATGCATACGAGAAGAAATAAATATGAAAAACCAAAAAATAGAGCAAAAAAAAGCGGGGGAAAAACTTCATTGATATTGGAGTCCGCACACTGCAGGCAGGGCAAAACAAAGACATCAGATTACGTAAGAGCTACAGATTCAAGTGATATATGTATTGTGCACAGCTAAACGTATCCATGATTCGACTATAAGCTCTAAAGCAGAATTTTTTATTGTTTTGGAGGGGGAAATAATATTCATCAATTATTCAAACGCGAATAGATAATTTGGTTTCATCGGTTGTGTCATTCCACGAGATATAGTGGGTGTGAGAAGATAGAGATAGATAGATAGAGAGAGAGAGAGAGACCTAATTAGTGTAAATAATTCACTTAACCACACCAAGATCAAGACCATGAAAGCCAAGAGCTGATCGTCATAAAACTCGAACAGGAAAAATAGAATACCGATCATAATCTGGAAAAGAAGCAATAGATTATTGACAAGAAAATCCTCCGTATGTACCACCAAATAGTAAAAGAAAAAAAAAACACTAGAAATATAAGCAAGCATAAATATCAAGAGTAAAGCAACAATCTGGAGTGCTTACTGGAACGAAGACAAGTGACTCGATTACATGCACAAATATCAACTGAAACGTTGGGAGTTGATGCTGAGCGTGGTGTTGAAGCTGCACTGCAGTAATTAAAAACAAGTCGTACCCCATTATATTTCAAGATAATTAACGCAGCCTTTCTACTCTATATGTAGGAATGGAGATGTCCATTGACAGTGCAGATGGACCAGATATCTTAGAAGCCAGAGACTGATATGAAAATTCTTGTCTAAAAGAAATATTTAAGATGTGATGATTCGTTGGGTGCAGAATTCCACTCGATTAATCATTTGACTACAGGCAATCAAAGAAAATTTTGATATACCCTAGTTTCTTACCAAAAGATTTACCTAACGCCATCATTTCTAATGACGCTACCTACAAAATCCCTATGTTGGAAATTCCAAAGTCTCTAGTTTGTAATGTAAATATATATAGTTAGTGGGCATGCATGAGGAACCATGAGATGAGAAAGTATACAAACTCCTTAATGTATGTCTAGCAGTCTATGGTAACTATCATTCTACCATCATACTTTCCATGGAAACCAATGTTACAGTTTAAACATACTGAGGCCCAAGAGCGGGCAGTAGACAGGACAAAGGGGCCATCTCCCTAAATAAACGGTAGAAATCCATTAGAACATGCCGGGTCTCTTGTGGAAAAAGATATTAAGGAACTTGTAAAGTCTTTTTTTGTTAAAAAAATAAAATAAAAATAGTAATAATAATAAACCATTTATTTTATTTTTCACAAGGAAACAAAACTTTTCTAAAAATCATACTTTCATAAAGCAAACGAAAGAAAGGAACCTGTAAACTTCAACATGCGAGTCTGTGTCTCCCTCAAAGTAAATGACACTGACATAGTGGTAGTGAAGAAAACGAAAAGTGCCATCATGAGCACACCACACTTGGTTACGAAGTAGTCTGAATGGAAACAGATGTGAGAACAGAAACTTGTCAAGACAACCCTTTTTTTTTTTTTGGTAAGAAATCGAGTTTTCATAGAGATAAATAAAAGAATGTACAAAGTCATGCAAAATATAGGGCCCCCCCCCCCAAAAAAAAAAAAAAAAGACATCTTCACACAAACAAATGGAGAATGATAGAGAATAAACATTTTAAAAAGACTAGAAGAAGTTCCTAGTAGCAGAGTGGACTCGTCAAAATTTAAACTAATCAAGTTGGGAACAGACTTGACCCTTTTAATGGTTTGGTTATATGGTCATAAATTCTTAAAAACAACGCTCTATCAGACCTAAACTCTACTTATTAAATTCATAAAAACAACAAAAACATGCAGATGATAGAGAATAAACATAATCCTTCTCCAGTTAATAACATCATAATATTAAAGGGCCATATCAATGCAGTAAAAAAAGGATCAATCAACGAACCTCCAAATCTGGCAGGGCCCTCTGGTGGCTCAAATGCATAGCTAAGATTGTAAAACTCCTTCGTTTGGTAATTGTAAAGATAGCCTAAAACAAATCTAAACTTAGCTGAAGATGTAAATAAAGCTATTCATCCTCCTAATGGAAAACAATACAATAGAGATTCTTCATATCAAACAAATGTACAGAGACATCAAAATAGGAGAAAAGGTTAGTGCAGACGAGTTTCAAGCAATTCCATAAATTGAGAATTTGTTTCATGAAAATGAACTAAAGTTATGCACTCATCAACAATTTTCCTTTATTTATTTATTTTTAATGGAACTGCATATGTGAGGTGAGGATTCAAAATTTTAATCTATAAGGAAGAAGATTAATATCTTGAACATTGAATTATGTAAGGTTGGTGCTCATTTAAGGTTAAAAACGAGTCAAAGTAACTTCTAAATAAAATGATAAACAGTTCTAAAAAATCCCTCGAGATTAAACAAAGATTTTGTAGCTAAAGGATTAGTCTGTGCACTAAATCAATCACTCACTGTAATTCTAATAAGTCTATAAAATGCCAATTAAAGATGCAGAAGAGGAAGAAAACCAAGTGATTTCAAGTAAAACACATGCAATGCACACTTGTAACATTTTCCATCAGAACATTAGTTACAGATAAATAGTGTTATTACCTTGACCGGGAAACGTCAGTAAACTATTCATCAAGATAGTATCATACCCAACAAATCTGTTTATGAGAAGTTTCTGCCATCTGCCAACAATAATCATTATTATCATTATTATTGTGATTGTGACAAAGATGACAACAACAATGATATAATTACTTCCCTGCACAATTTTATTTTAAAATTCACATCAAACCGGGTAAGATTTTCAATTAGTTCGTGAAAGAAACAAAAATGTTGCTAAGACAAACAAAAGTACAAGTAAAACTATGAACTAAACGAAAGATTACGTCAGAAGAATTAAAAAAAAATCCAAATTTATCCCTCCGAGTCTTTCCTCAACGGTGTAGTTACAAAAAGCCACAAATTTGTTAGTTCGCTACCAAAAGTTTTTATCGTTAGTCGATATCCCTCATTCCAATGGTGAAGATATTGTTCCCCTACTGGCCATGTTGGCAAAGCCACAAACTTGGGATCTTTGCTTTTTAGTATCATCTTAGTTTCTAGAGTGGGAGGCTACCAAATCATCCTCAAATCTAGTTTCCCTTCTCTTACGTCAGAAGGAGCAAATAAAATACCTTATAATACAAATGAGGTAAAAATCTAAACTTGTTCTCTGGTAACACAAACTGAAATTTTCTACCGTAATCAACAAACATAACGTTCACATACCAAAAGTAGATTCACCATATCAATAGACATACCTGTTTCCAAAGCATGAATGTTGAGCTGGTATACTGATATTAATTGTTTGTATATTATGCCTAGACTTAGCTCCTTCTGGTAATAAAAAAAATCCCTGCAGTATATGAACCGCCTTATTGCAAAAAAAAAAAAAAAGAAAAAAAGAAAAAAAGGGAATAAAAGCAACTTGAAAAGCATTTAGTTGAAATACTAAAAACCAAGATTAATTCAAGTAAAAAAAACAGACTTTCACATCAGAAAACAGAAGCAATCTAGCAACAGTTGATAACAATAATAGATGAAAAATATAAATAAATTACCTTTTCCCTAGTATATAAGTACGTTGGTTCAGAACTTTTACTTCTTCTCACGAGCCATTGCACTGAAGGGTAAAACAGAAATCAAAGATATCAAAACAGACCATCAGCAATAGCTGCAACAACTCCAACCTAAACTTTGGAGCTGTATCACTTAAAATCCAAAACTAGTAATTGTATCAACTAAAACCCAAGACTTTCACAAGTAAATCAATCCTTTGTTAGAACTTTTTTTTTAAATGGTTAATGTATAACTTTCATGTGTGTATAAGACTTCTTTACATGCAGGGCTTAATGTAAATTAGAGGAAGGTGTTGGAATCAAACAGATGGTAGCGGTTTTTCAATAATATGAACGATTTTGCATCTTCTAGTCTTACTCTATTTTTCTCCACTTATTTAGAAAGAATTACCGGATAATTTTTTCTTGCTACTTCGGTGAGATTTTGGGAGAAAGAAGAACTTTGTTTATGTGATTTTGAGCTTCTTTTAAATTCAAGGATTAGTTTAGGGTTTTAATTGATACAACACGTCAGATTGACAGTCGGGTGAGATTAGAAGATTATTCCAAAAAGAGGCTTGCAGCAAGGAGATCCCTTATTTTCTTTCCTCCTTAACATTATAGGAGATATGCTTAGTCGTTCAGTTCAGCTTTGGCTTGAGAAAAAAATTCTTAAGGGCTTTATTGTCGGGAGGAACAAGGTTGAAGTCTCCCGACTTCATTAGCTGATGACACTATCATTTTATGCCCTGATGAGTCATCAATGCTTAAACCTGGTGGGATATTCTGAGTCTAATTTTACTGGGATCGGGGCTTTATTTAAATCTTTCAAAGACTTTGCTGATTGGAATTAATGTGAGCAAGGAAGATGTTGATAGCAGGGCTGAAGGCTTCCACTGTCATTCTAAATTTCTCCCTATAAACTATCTCGGATTCCCGTTGGGAGGGCATCATCATAAAAGATCTTTTTGGAAACCTCTAATAAATAAGCTTCGGGCAAAATTGAATATGTGGAGATGTCTCTTTCTTTCTAAGGTGGAAGTTACCATCGTCAACATTAAAAAAGCATTACAAGGCATCACATCGTAAAAGAAAACATGCATGGGGAGAAAGAACGTAGCGTATTTACCAACAGCTGACTGGAGCCTGTCCTGATGAAGAATGCGCCACCACTTGGAGACATCAAGATTCAAATTTATCCCTGCAACATTCTGCACTAGCAATAAGGCAAGCAACAAACATGTTCGAAAGTAGCTTGTTTATAAGAAACATTCGTTAACAGAAAGGGAACCATGCAATTTGGAGGATAAGACTGAAAGCCATAATTGAAAGTTGAAAAGAATCACACATATTGACTATGAGTATTAAAATCTCTAAGGTCAACAGTCTAAGGAATAAGGATTACAACTTATTCACTCTAGACCCAAGCATCATCAGAAATAAGGCCAAGAATTTGAAGGTCAATAAACTGAGGGCTAGATCCTTTTCACTTAAGCACCAAGTTTCAACTGACATGAGCCCAATGAACCAACCACGCACCAGAAATCATCCCCCTTTCGGGTTAACCCATAAAATGGCTTCAGAAGTTTAGAACAAAAAAAAAAAAAAAAAGAAAGCAGAGGAAAGCAGGAAAAGAAACCCCCTTATTATAATTAATTAATTAAAAAAAAATCTAAGACGAAAAGAAAGGATCTTCTATGAGCTTCTTTACATTAAATAATAATAGTAGAATAGCTAACTCAATAAAATATTGTAACTAAAAGTAAGTACTCAACCAATAAAGGAGCATGCTTGAACCTTGCATTTAAAGTAATGGCTGTTGAGGATTATTGGGAGTGAATCCCACATTGGTTAATTTAGTGGAAGATCATGGGTTTATAAGTGAGGAATACTATCTCCATTGGTACGAGGCCTTTTGGAAAAGCCCAAAGCAAAACCATGAGAGCTTATGCTCAAAGTGGACAATATCATACCATTGTGGAGAGTCATGATTCCTAACATGGCATCAGAGTCATGCCCTAAACTTAACCATGTTAATAGAATCCTCAAATATCGAACAAAGAATTGCGAGCCTCGAAGGTGTAGTCAAAAGTGACTAACGTGTCGAACAAATGGTGTACTTTGTTCGAGGGCTCCAGAGAAAGGAGTCGAGCCTTGATTAAGGGGAGGCTATTTGAGAGCTTCATAAGTCTCAGGGGAGACTTATAGTGTACTTTGTTCGAGGGAAGGATTGTTAAGGATTATTGGGAGTGAGTCCCACATTGGTTAATTTAGTGGAAGATCATGGGTTTATAAGTGAGGAATACTATCTCCATTGGTATGAGGCCTTTTGGAGAAGCCCAAAGCAAAGTCATGAGAGCTTATGCTCAAAGTGGACAATATCATACCATTGTGGAGAGTTGTGATTCCTAACAATGGCATCAATAATTACTCACAGGTAGCTTCCATACGCTGGTCAGGATCTGGTTTGTATGTCTACAAATAAATAAAATTTGTCGATTCCACCTTCTACCAAATTGAACAATTGCTGCCTTAAAAGTTTCCTCGACTGATATTAGGAAACTAATATGGAGCTCTTCTTTGTCAAGTTTAATGACTGTATCATCAGCTGCTGCTCTTGAGCATTGGTCCACACCAGTACTTTCTGCTTGATGTTCTAGAAACTCTATATCCGATTTCCAGAGCTTCGGTGCCAACTTACCTCTTCTAGCACCTGAACCAAACCAATTTAACCAAAACTTGGCAGCCAAAAATGTCAACTCATCTTCATCATTTGCAACCTCCAAACTTTCTCTCACAGTTTCCCCACCAGGGGCATCTTCAATATTAAGTTCAGAGTCATTTGGTGACCACAGGCCTGCGGTAGTTATCTGTCAAAAATTACACAAGTTTAGCATTATACATTGAAGTAGACGAAAGAAAGCACGAAAGCTAAAAGGCAAGAAAAAAAAAGTTTAGATGCAGATTAATACAAATTTATAAACCAAACAAAATAATCAGTAGTATAAGTCCAAGAGAATAAACTAAATAAAGTAGAACACTTGAGCGTTTCCGAAATTGACAATCATAATCAAAAGTAAATCTGGTTTTTTCTATTGATAAATAAAAATATTATCTAATTCCAATGTCCAGACTCTAAGAATATCCAACTTTTGAGATGTTTATTGTAAATCCACTCTTCTTACCCATTTTCTGTAAGTTTCATACATCACTCAAATTGTTTCTAATAAAAATAATAATAGTAGTAATATTAATAATATTTGCCTCTTCTTGTGAGCCAGGAGGGAAATAAAAGGAACAAACGTGAAAATATACCATGATCAGGAAAGAATTACTAGGACTAGTCTAAATGTTCTATTTTAAAAACCCCCATAATTAAATAGGAGTAAACTAATTTTTATATTTATTTACTGATCAAGAGTTGGTTAAAAAGACCCCACAGAAGTTCGGAGAAAACCAGAAGAAATTTCTTGGGCACAAAATACGAAATTATTTTCAACAAATGAAAATTCTATTTAGTACAATAATTGGGGTACACGGATTTGAACTCCGACCTCAAGGGAAGGAAGGAGTACGCATCAATTATTCATGAGTTATGCTCACTTTGGCAAAAGCGAGCATTTTCTGAACAGGAAATTAAAACCTCATCCTCAAAGAGACTAAGACAGAAGAAGGAATGAGAAATAATAAATCTAAGAAATATCTAAAGTTTCTTTTTGTATATAATACCGGAGGCTTTGGAGAAGTCGGAATGGGATAGATTAGTATGGACCAACTAAACCAATGATTATACACTTCCACAGAATTATATGAATCTTGGAAAATCTCATTTCTACTCGAACAAAAGCCATCGAAGAAAAGCAATGATAACATTGGTCCATGAAATCTTGCTCCCTCCAAAAACATTGGTCACCAAAGGCAACAATCAGTTCAAAGTTCTACTACATGGAGACAGTATTTACCTTATTTTGAATAAGTTGGGCTTCTGTTGTCTCAACTCCAGAGAGCTCACTTGAGCAACCAGGCTTTGAATGCAGGAAGAACAAAACTTAAATTAAAACAACATAAAACTAAAGAACTAAGCTACAGTTCATACATAACAAGAAATTCCCCAAACAATAATTAACAGAGAGGTAGAGATGCTATACATTCATCATATGCCTAAACCATGCCCTACAACCTAAAGAGTTCAACTCAAAAAATTGAGTCTGTACAGTTAAACACATGTTAGACAGGAGCACACAACTCAAAATGTTGTGTGTACTTTTCATCACATTCAAAACTCATTTGAGCGTTGCTCAACTCGAGACCGAGACTATTAAATTCAAACCATTCTGAAAGCCTGCACTACAACCAGATTATGATCAAAACTACAACATCTTGCTATCTTTATACATTTTCTAAATGGATTCAGGAAGCAGTCTTTTAGAATTAGGAAGCTCAGAATCTGGTTGTAGTACTGAAACACCCATAATTGAACTGCCACAAACCCACGGATTCGGAAACAACCATTTCCGAAGAACAGAACTAGATTAAAGAAATACATATAGACAATCAGTGTGACTCAATTCGAAAACAACCAAGAACTTCATAAATCCAGCCTAACCAACTTATGAACCCTAAAACCCGCGACCAAAAATCATTGCAGAATAAGAAAGCTCAAAAACTAAAAACAACATATAAATCAAATTGCAAGAGAACTCGTAATGTTGAGAAGAACCTGCTGTACGTAGTTCGCGTGCATGACCACGAGAATACAGAACAACGTAATGGCTATACAGAGGTTCATATACTCCAGAGTGCCTCTGACTTTGGGAGTCAGAATCTGAGAAAACCGTTCTTGAACTCGAATAAACGTTTGTTCTGGATCCATTTCTTTCCCCTATTATCAAGAAATCGATCATCAAAAAGCTCTGGTATGAATTTCTCTTCTCCTTTCGTTCTTCTGGGAAAGTGATCCAAGGTTTTAATCTTCAAGCTCCGTTTCAACAGCAATCGTTGTTGTAGCTGTTACCAATTCAATCGGAACGACCCATGGAAGTGTTTGATCATCATCCTAAATTCCACAACGATTTTTTTTCTCTCTTTTATGAGGAATTGATGAAAGGTTTATATAGTTGTTCATCAAAATTATCTGTTAATCTGTCACATCGTGTTATAATTTTAGTCGATATTTATTTTGTCTGTTTATTTAACAAAAGCATTCCATTGGTGTTAGATATACTACCAAAATAGAGTCGCAATTTAAGGATATGATCAACGTGGGGTTTATTATATTATCACTAAATTTTTAATTTAATTAAAAAAAATTAGTTTATTATATTATCACTAAATTTTTAATTTAATTAAAAAAAATTATTTGTTTTCTAATCAACGCTCTTCATTAAACATTAAACGTTTTGTGATGTCCCACATTAGTTGCGGAGGAGAACAAACTACCATTTATAAGAGTGTGGAAACCTTCCCTTAACAGACGTGTTTTAAAGTCTTGAGGGTAAGCCCGAAAGTGAAAGCCCAAAGAAGACAATATTTGCTAGCGGTGGATCTCGGGCGTTACAAATGGTATCAAAGCCAGACATCGGACGATATGCCAGCTTTCTCTCATACAGATGTAGTCTTAGTCTTAGTTCATTTATATCTCACATTTACTCAGGCATTACATGTTAGTGTGAACATGGGGCATTAATAATACTAGGTTAGGAACGAACGAAGATAAAAGTTGATGTACAGATGTACATGTAACGCTCGAGGTACATGAGTAAAAGAAGTAACAAAAGTCGTTCTATTATGAGTTTGAGAATACACGACTAAATCGAGTTAAAAGCTAATACGATGAAGCAGTTCTATATGTAATGCTCAAGTAATAATATTTCAAAAAGAGCTAGGACAGTTATTGCATGAAGTCTACCCAATGCTAGATGCAGAGGTGCATAATAGATCAATATAACATCTACCCAATGCTAGATGTAGAGGTGCATAATAGATCAATATGAATATCAAGAACTGTCCCGTATTAAAACCTGTTGTTGCTGATACTTTCTTTTCAGTTCCTTCTTTCATAACTCGAGCTCGAAAAAGGAAGAGATAAGAGGGCCCTATCGAAAATGTGGTCAGAAATCCATAATAGAGTCCGACCACAATGACCGGTTCCTTCTTCCATAACCCGAGCTCGGAGAAGGAAGAGATAAGAGGGCCCTATGAAGAATGTGGTCAGAAATCCCTAATAGAGTCCGACCACAACGACCGAATTGATTATCTTCATGCATAGATATAAGCTAATTTTATATTATTCAAATGTGTTACATGTGGTCAAAGTTTTTTGGAATATTTTCATTGACATCTTTTATTTACATAAAAAAAAATGCACTCTTCAATTAACTTTTTCAAAAAAGTACTTCAAATATTTTTTTTTTCAACAAATCAAGATTAAATTATAAGCTTATTTGGTAATTTTTAGAGTTTAATTCATTAAACACTGAAAATTTTGTAAAAATAATAATAATATTGCAACATGGTCATAAAATAAATGGTAGTAAATGAACATAACCCACCTTAAAGAATCTCATTACAATACAAAAATATATGAGATTGAGATAAATAATTGAGGTTAGATTCCTTTTACATGAATGTTACTATTCATAGTCTTTCAAAGGTAAATGTAACGACCCAGATCCATCGCTAGCAAAGCCCTTTCGAGCTTCCCCTCAAGTTTGTTAGGAGAAGGTTTTCACACCCTTATAAAGGGTATTTTGTTCTCTTCCCCAACCAATGTGGGACATCATAACAAACGTTCTAATTTTACCCAATATAACAGGTATAGGCTAGTACGAATAAGCTAGAACACACAAATTTCAAGGAAAACGAGATAAAATATTGTAATTAAACAATGCTTAAAGCACAAGGGAGGAAAAAGAATAAAATAAAATGATAAACCAGACCAACCTTTTACTATGACTGGATGCATTGCAAAATTCACATCCACCAAAAAAAAAAAAAACTCTTTTCTAAACCACTTAACCACCCTACACAGTGAAGAACACACCATGGTAAAAAAATTATTGAAACTGAGGATAGGGAAAAATGTAACAGAACATATGTGAAAAAAGAACAAATGAATCTAAACAAAAATTGGTATACTCTCAAGGAGGAGAAAAAGAAAAATGATACCCCGGGTGCTAGCGAGCGACCTGTATGAACGAGCCATGATATTATTGTTAAAGAAACAACATAAAAGCTAGAAGAAAATTAACCAAAGGAGAGATGGAGATATTTCTACACACCTGATAGGGGGACTTAGAATCTATCTGGGAAAGAAAGTTTGTTGAACGAACCAGTTGGATGAGGAAGAGGAAAATGGAATTTGAAGTGATTTTTAGCTTTTTGGGGCATATGCAGCTAAGGCATTTGCATGTGCATGTGGGAGACTGCTCAAAAGGTGTTGAATTTGTTGGCCATAAAGTGAAAGTAGATGTGAGAAAGCTCGGCCTACTTGAGCTTTAACTTCTGGTGTTTCGATAGGAGATACCACAACGTGAGCAAAGATATTAACCAACTCAGGAACCAAAGAAAGGATCTGCAATTGGCACACGAATTAGCAGAACTATAAAAATAATAATCCAGATTGCTTTTTCAATACTGAACGAACTTAATATTTGATCACCCCTCCAATTAATATTTGCTCGCCCTTTCTCCTCGCTTTACTGTTTCGTCCCTCCCTAACTTGCTCGATTTAACGTTGTGTTAGGCATTAAGGTTTAATTAGGGCACTTGAGCTTCTTCCCCATGTTGTAATCTATTTCATCAGTACAGTACAAACACAATTCAGGTCCTATCGCATTGGTCAAGTAAAACATTTATGAAGACTTCCCTAGATTATGAACATGGACTGGAATATAGTTCAACTGTGAGATCTCACATTGGTTGGAGAGGGGATCGAAGCAATTTCCTTACAAGGGTATAGAAACCTCTCCCTAGTAGAGGCATTTTAAATTCCTGAGACTGACAACAATACGTAACGGGACGAAGCGGATAATATCTGCTAGTGGTGGGCTTGGGCTATTACAAATGATATCAAAATCAGACACCGAACGGTGTGCTGGTGAGGACATTAGGTTCTTAAGGGGAGTGAATTGTGAGATCCCACATCAGTTGGAGAGGGAAACAAAGCATTGCTTATAAGGGTGTGGAAACATCTCCCTAACAGACGCGTTTTAAAACCGTGAGGCTGACGGCGATACATGACGGGCCAAAACGGATAGTATCTACTAGCAATGGGCTTAGGTTATTACCTCAGGGATCAGGGAACGGGAATGTTTTCCCACCGGTGTCACTTTTCACTATGGGAGTCCTAAATTTTCCTGTTTGGGGACATTCTATATAATGACAACTCAACATGCTATGAATTTCGGTAACACCCACAGGATCACATTTACTTTCCCAGTTATCCTCAACGTAATTGGACGGATAACAAAAAGTTTATACGCCCGAATTATTTCCAAAAACAGAACTATACCCTCCATAAACACGAATTTTCTTAACGGAGTAAAATTTAAATAAAATCATGCTAAAGTCCGACAGAATAAATACCTGAGGATTAGATGACAAAACAAGAGTAGACACACAACCATAAACGGACATGGACTCCTCGTAATCTTCTTTTAAAGGTAGAGCTTTGAGTAAAACTTGGAGGACCTAGGTTAGAAGATCAAATTGAAACAGTTAAGCAAAGACAGGGGGAAGGGAGGAGTAACCGAAGCTATACTAACCTGATTCAATGGGACAGCTTCAGGGTGCACCATTATCATTCTTGCGACTGCACCAGCTGCGTTATCCCTAACAGCATTGTCTGACTCAGATTCCCCAAATAATGGGTAGAGTCCACGAAATATATCATTATAATATCTGATATTGATTAAGTAAAAGGGAGTTCATGATTGTAGCGAAAGTACAAAATAAAAGGGTTGAATGGGAGGCAAGCAACACAACAGCTCTAATACCCACTGAAACGGTCAAGAAGATATAAACGGAAACGAAAGTAAACAAACAAATATAATTGCATACAAAAGGATACTTCAAAGTAGACTCTCCCCCATTATTGCAGAACTCTCCAACACAAAATGCAGCATTCCTTCTATTAGTTGCCTCGGATGATGCCAATTCTTTGAGAACCAATGGCATTACTCTCTGAAAGTTATGCATTGCATTAGTAAATAGGCCCTTGAAATGTTTTCATTCATATTCATAGGCACATATTTTGGGAAAAAGTGTTTTAGGTGAAGTTGGGAAGAAACTTAGTTAAATGCTTTTCCTAAACATATTTTTAAATATTTTTTACAAACTGCTTTTGATTATTGAAAATTTTAAATAACGTTTTATTTAGCGAAAAAACACTTTTTATCTTATTTCAAATTTTAACCAAACGAGTTGTCAATTTTTTAAAAATACTCAAAAGGGAAAACCAAACACGCCCAAAATATGACCAGTCCACAAAATAAAGAAGCAAAAATAAAAAGATCTCGGTAATGAATACTTACATCAATATAGGCAGCAATTGGAGCACCCATGTCCCGAGCTACTTCAGCAAGACAGGCGACCACCATAGTTCGATCTTGAGGAGGTCGTGAGGCTCTCTGGGTGATCGAGGGGAAATGAGGCAAAAGTTTGTAAGTTACTCTCTTGTAAATCTTGAAATACTATCAAACCCAGTCCCTAACTCACCGAAAATTTCATTAATGGTTCAAATAGCTTCGCAAAGATAGGCGCAAAGTAAGAGCCCATGGCCTTTGCGAATGCAGGAAGCAGATCAGACACTGCATCCATAAGTACTTCATCATGTTCAGTATCATCCTCATCTATTTCACCATCAGATTCCACTTGCTGACAAGCAGATTCCTCACGGAGCAGAACTAATGTTGCATCAATTAACTGAGGCATATCTAATGTTTTGAACAAAACAGCAATACATAAGAGTCGGATAGAATCATTGAATAAAAATACATTTCACAACAATCAAAACTTAATATCATTTTTTAATAGGAATTTTGGAACTTGATATCAAAACTTACAAGGTTCCACTGCAACATAACCATAGTCTTTGA